TGATGACTTTCTATGAAGCCACAATTAGCTATAGGGAGGATTTGGATCTTCCTGATTTAGTGTAATAAGGTTTACTTAGTATAAAATTAAATGTTGATCAATTTTATCATCACAACATTAATTATTATTATTCAAGTTATAAAAATGACATCATCAAATCCAATTTTAATTCCTCAAGATGCAATTAAAGTAGAAAATGCTTATGAAGAAGTATTTTTTTTGTATACTGTAGGAAATCCATTGGAATGGGAACATAATCAAGTTATATCGCAAAAAAAAGATTATATTGGGATAAGTGTTGATGGTAATAATAATAATAATAATAAATAAATTTTAAACTCAATTATTATTAAATGTCAATTATATATATATATATGAATTGTTTAGATCAAACAACAATAACAATCTTTCAAAATCAATCAGAACTTTCAAAGATTGGTAGTACTGGTAGTGTACTGTGGGATTCGAGTGTTTTGTTATTAAAATTCTTAATTAAACATCATGATTGGTTAAATTTTTCAATTGAAAAAACAAAGATAATCGAATTGGGTTCAGGATGTGGATTGATAGGAATTGGTGTTATGCCATTTGTTAAAATATTTATGATGACTGATCAAATTTCTATGATAAAACATATTTGGAAAAATGTAAAGTTAAATTTAAATATTAGTGATGACAAAATCAACAACAAAAAAAATAATAAGAAAAAAAATAATAATAATAATAATAATAATGATAATGATATTCTTGGTACTGCTGACATAAGTTATAAAAATAGAATTTTTGCTAAAGAATTAAATTGGTCGACGGAAAATGAGAAATTAATAGATAAGGAAATTATTAATCAGAATTGGAATTATGTGGTGTCTAGTGATTGTATATATAATGAATTTATTGTTGATTCGTTCGTTGGAATGTTAATCAAACTATGTAAATCAAAAAACCATATACTTACATCTCCTTTTTTTGTTGATAATGATGGTGGTGGTAGCGACGATAGTGATAGCAATGATGGTAGAAATAAAAAAAATAACACAACTATAGTTGTAATATCTTTAAAATTAAGATCCGATAATGTTCATTTAGTATTTATGGAAAAGTTTTTAGAAAGTTTTGTGATTTGGAGAATGCCAAATTCAATGTTTGGTGATGAATTTAGAAATGGATATGTTATTTATTTGGCATGGCTTAAATAGAAAATTTTGTAAGAAAATAATATAAAATTAAATATAATAAAAAATTATTTATATAAAAATGTTTTATGTTGTTGATTAATTTTAATAATAAATATATATGTGCGTGTGTGTATATATATTAATCAATTATAATAAAAGAAGGGAGTAAAAATATATATGTGATTTACATTATTATCTCAAATAATAAAAGAAATATATATAAACTAAAAAATACGAAATAAAATGTTTTTTTAAGATAAAGATTTTTTCTTTTGAAAAAAAATATTTACCATGATTGCCCACCAAACAAATAAACTTCAACTCTAAAGAAATAAAAATTCAAGTCAGATTTATAACGATAATAATAATGATAGTAATAATAATAATAACAAAATACTAAGTATGGAAAAAATTAAATGAATGCGATGTAAGTGAAATTAAAAAAAAAATAATTGTTAGATTTTTTAAAAAAATAAAAGAGAAAATGAAATAGTTTCTTAACAATTATGATACAAAGAAAATATATGTAATAATAAAAGTCAGTGCAAATGAAAAATTAAAAAAAAGGCTACTGAATCAGAGAAATAATTAAAATAATTCTACTATAATAAAAATAAAAAGGATAATTGCATAATTAATATACAAAATATATAAAGTCCACATAGTAATATATCTAATTTAGGTAGGTACTCTCATGTTTCCATCATTCAATAATATTTCTGCCCAATAGAGGATCATTTGCCCAAGACGTGATGCCCAACCATCTTCTCTCAAGTCATCATAAGGCATCCAATCACTATATGGAGCTGCTCCTTGATTATTATCAATGACAAAGACCGATGTTATGATTCCAAAGAGGTAAATGACTACTGTGTATAAAGCAAAAGTTGCAGTATTATGAACTATTGCAATATTATGAACCGAATTATTTGCATTACGTGGAACAAGTGCTTTTGATGATTGGGAATCAATTTTTTCTAAAGCTTGTGCCTATATTAATAAAAAACGATAAATTTAATTTATAGAGAAAAAATATATATCGGATATTTAAAATAAAGAAAATACCTCTATTTCTTGACTTGGATTTACTAATATAATAATGATATATATATTAACAATAGATTTAAAAAATCGGTTAAATTTATTATCATAATGACAAACACTAACCTCTTCTTTTGTTTCTTCGCACAGAGTTTCTTGTACCTCTATGCCTTGCAAGTTCATTATTATCACCTTCGGCATTATTTCTGATTGCTCTGTCTCTTTTATCATGCAAATTTCCGTGTGGATTTCCATGTGTATTACCATTTGATGCACGATTTCTTAATATTCCTTCAATTAAAGCATATTGAACACCTAATTCTGAAGACAAAGTTTGAAATTGAGTTTCAACAAGTGGATTATTACGTGCAACTACACTTTGATCTACAAAACGGCGGGATGATCGTGAACTACTTTGTTTACGACCAGATTGTTCGATATCAGTCACGCGATGCCTATCTAAGTCATTATTAGATCTTGATTGAGCATGCTCATCAATTGTATTAATATCTGAGGTATCATCTTTACGGCGTCGTGGCTATAAAGAAAAAATGGCATTATATAATTAATATTCACTTAATATTTATTTATTAAGTAAGCTATTACATAATGTATGTAATTTTACCTTGTTTTTTTTATCGTTTCTTATATCCTCCGTGTTAGAATCTGAAACGACTTCAATAGATGCAAGTACATGATCAACCATTTCAGTACGTAAATCCTATTTATTAATTAAATTAATAATCAATTACGTGTATATATATGTGCATGTATATAGTTATCTAGTTATGATATAAAATACCTTGGATGATCCAATATCACTTAGATCTAACGTTTCAGTAAGCTTTAGTCAAGGATTAAATCTTAATTAAATAAAAATATAAAAAATATCATATATATAAAAATTTATTTCGTAAATAAATGAAGGATATCCTCTATTAATATTATTATTTATTCGTCCGCTCCGTATTTCATCTAGATCCAATTTTAATTTATCAATAGTTTCTTTAAGATGCAAATTTTCCATCCTTTGTTGTTCAAGTTCTAACTCAGAATGTTGAGATGATGCAACATCTTGTTCAAGTTTGCTTATTGCAGTTTCTAAACGTTCACGTTCACCATTCCACTTTTGTCATATAATAAATATAATTTTTTAATATAATATATTAGAAATTATAAGAAAAATTATTAAAATTATCAATTACATACTTTTCTTTCTTCTGCAGCAAAGAAAGTAAGATTTCGTTCCGTTCTGGCCAATTCTTCTTCCTTCAACTTTATAATATTACTAAGTTTTTCGGCTTCCTCTATATTCATAAAATATAAAAATTACTATCACATTTTATGCTTTAGTGGTTCTTCTTTTTTAAAAAAATTTGAGTTAACGTTTGATAAAACATACCATATTTATCTTCATATTGTTTTTTAAGGTGAGAATATAAATTTTTTTGATCTGATAAATTCTTTTGAATTTTTTGTATTTCTCCTTCCAACTACGAAATATAAATAAATTATTCGAATTAATAAAAATAATATGATGATGATTAAATATAAATACAATTATTAAGATTTGTAAAAATATATTTACAGCGAAAATTTGATGCGAACTAATTTTTTCTTTGCTTGTATGTATTAACATTGAAATGATAAAACAGAATTGACAAAATTCTAATCATGAAAAAAAAAAATGGTTGTAGGGATGTTACTCATTATTATTATTTAAAAATTTTTTTTTTTAAATATGAATGGTAACATTTTACTTATTAATAAGTTATTATTATATTTGCAGGTAAAGACTTATTCTATATTCTCATTATTATTATACTTTAAAGAAATAAGTATTTATTATATATATTTGATTAACTTATAACTTATATTCAACTTTTTCCAATAGTACAAAGATCATATAATAGGTTGTATCTTGATTTTTTTATGATGCATTTAAAAAACAAGAAGGATTTTTAAACAACAATAACAGATATACTCAGGGTGTAATTATAAAGTGGTGTATACAATTTAAAAAACATATTTAAAATATATTTTTTTATATTTATATTTACATATTTACATTTACATTTTTATTTTTTTTTTTATTTTTTTTTCAAAATTCATGTATTAATATTCATGCCACCAATCTATTTATTTATAGGAAATTTCAGATATATATATACAATATTATATAATGGATGATAATTCATGATCAAAGGTAAAATATTGATTTGATGAAGTCAATGAAAAGTTAAAAGCAAATAAAATATTAGACTGTATAATGAAAAACCAAGCCTATGTATTAAAAACATTCAATAAAGAAATACTATATTAATTTTTTATTTATTATAAACATTTTATTTTTATCATTCCCTCCGATATTAATATTTTGTTTTTTCAAATTTGCGTAACGATCTTCAAGCCAATAAAATTTAATTTTTGCGTGATATCTGGAAGGGAGATCGTCACAAAATTTAGCCAATGAAATCAAATGTCTACTATGCTAAACAATGCTCGATTATGTGATTATGCTCAAAAATTAAGAAGTGTGCAGCAATTTATGCGAAAGCATAATCCTGGACACTCTAACTTGAATTGTTGAATTTGATGTGGTCACACCAAGTTTTAAACAAATTGATTAATAGCTTCTGGTGGGACACCATATCTTCTTAAAGCTGGTAGTGTATATAGCCATGGATCATCCCAACCTTTTACATATTTTTCATTAACTAGTCTTGCTATTTTTCATTTTGATAAAACTGTATGTTAATATTCAATCTACCAATCAACCAGTCAACCAACCAACCAACCAATTAATATATATGTATATTAGTTGTATAATGGTTTTTAAAAATTTAATAAAATAATGATAGTTAAAAAAAACCAAACCTGTTATACTCAAATTGAACAGGGTTTATATACTTCAAGAGCATCACATAACCAATAATACAATTCACGAGCTGTCTGGAATTCAAATGTACAAAGTGGATGCATAATATTTTCAAAAGAGTCACAAAGACAATGTGTGAAATCATAAGTTGGATAAATACACCATTTGGTTCCAGTTCTATAATGTGGTGTGTGCAAAACACAATATGCAACCAAATCCCAAAATTGTGGATTTCCACTTTGCATGTCCATCTTCATACAAATGGTTACCTCTTCTTCCTTGTACTTTCCCTCCTTCATTTTTTGAAATTCAGCTAGTGATTCTTCAATTGGACAATTACAATGCACACACTCTTTATGTTCTGCATAATCATCACCACCTCACATCTGTTTCATTTTATTAGATGTACATGAACATGCATATTCTTTATCACACTTAATTAATTCTATTGCCAATTCATAAAAGTTGTCAAAATAATCAGAAGAATATGTGATCTTGTATGGTGAAAACCCTAACCATTCTATTGCCTCTCTAATAGAAGTAAAATAAATCTCTTCCTCAACTCTTATTAGATAAAACAATACATTAATATAAAATATATATGTGCATGTGCATTAAAATTTCTTTCTGATTAATCGATTGATTGATTTAAAAGTGTAAACAGGATTTTTACCTTCAGGGTTAGTGTCATCATATCTATTGGTGTTAATTTGTTATATAATAAGAGCAATATCATTGATAAGTTAATCATTTTAGTTTAATGTTATTGATTCAAACCTCAGATAACATATCCCATCATATGCTTTAGCATATCCAAAATTTACATTGATAGCTTTTACATGACCAACATGTAAAAATCCATTAGGTTCTGGAGGAAATCAAGTTACCACCTTACCACCAACTTCTTTCAAATGTTGTTCCATTAACTCAGGTTTAATTTGTGGATTACCACCTGGTTTATGAAGTTTTGCAAGATCTCCCTTGGTAAAGATGATAGGGACTGTATTGGTTTTTGATTTTACTTCTGATTGGCTCATTTTTTAAATTTTTGATTATTTTTATTTTTTTAAAATTTTATTTTTATGATTTATTTGTCAATTATAATAATATTAGCATTTGTTTGTAATAATAGAAATATCACAATGCAACATAAATTCGGTTTGAAGAACCAGATTATTAAAAACTTTATCATATAACTATAGTTGGCTTTGAAAACACAAATGGGAAAACTACGTGGTATGGCTGAAAAGTAATGAGAATCATTGTATTACTCAATAATATGTGGGTATACCTAAACAAAGTTATGA